GGGAGTTTACCAATGTTAACACGTAAATTTAATTAATTCACGTATCTAAGGCACGAAACGAAATGTCACCTGTATCCTATGGGCACATTAACCGCCAGACTAGATCTTGAACTATGAATCTTGGCCTTGGACTCGAAAGATAAAGGACAGTAAAAAAAAATAATACCATCGATACTCGTTAGCACCATTTTTTTTTAATCTGTTGCAATATTTTTGTGTATAAATTTGTAATTATTGGTATTAAAAAGAGATATATTCGCTTAAATAAATATTTTATATCCGAATTCCTGTATAACATATTCAAAAAATGTTCTTGACTTTTGAACCCCAATATCAGAATCAATAAGTAAAGGTCATCGACAATCGAAAGTGGGACAAATACGGTTCGTGACCTCTGAATTCTTATATACTCGATAAGGGAAGTCGTACATACAAATTAAATTATAAATTTTTCTCTCTAACAAAAAAGGAAACGGAAGAAATTGTTTTTAATCCTATTGATACCATTACAAATGGCACTCGTTGTAATGGTTTCAAATTCTAACATCTCCAATTCTAATGAAATCCTATCTTAAAAATCTAATTTTCTACTTGTAATTTTTGATTTATAGCTTCTTCATACATAATTTTTCGATTTATTAACATGTTTAATAATCAGCATTTTTATGAAGTACCCCTTATTGCAACCCCACAATGCTCATTGAATATAACATTAATGGAAGTTAAATCAATTTATTCTATATGAAAATGTGTTATAAACCTCATTATTGAGGCGAATATAGACTAATTTACTTTGTATTTTACTCTATTTCGTTTAATGCATTATCACGTTAATTGAATATGCAGCTGACATGAGTAAATGTATTGGTTTTATATCGTGTAATGAATTGGCAAAGTTGAATTTCTGTTCAAGCAAACTAGAGAGATGTCAACGTTAGAATACACAGCGGAAAAAAAAAAGTTAATTCAAGACGTGACTTCAATACAGGGCCGGATTTAGGCGTAGGCATAGTAGACATTTGCTTATAGACAACGAAGGCGTGAATTTAAATTCTCTTAACAGCGTGAAATGGGCAGGGGCAACGAGATTCAATTTTATGTATAATAAATTGATTAAAAATCTCGTATCTATATCCAGTTTACGTACATTCGAATGGTACTGATACAATATTTAAAAAAAAAATTAATTTTCGGTCATATAAATAGATATGTCGAAAATTGATTCCCTACTTCGAGAATATTTAAGTTTTATAAATTAAAAATTAATAATTAATTCGAAACTTCGAATGCTTTAATTGTAATTTTTTAGATTGTGTTAAGGGGTCCTGCTTGATACTCTAGATCATTATAGAATATCTTATTAAGCATTTATCAAATATTATTTTTGCTAACATTTATCATTTAATTTAATTTAAATGTATTTATAAATATGTTTTAAACCGAACGATTTTAAATTACTGTCAAACCTCGATATAGTATTCTTCTAAGTAGCATCACCCTCATAAAATGCCAATGAATATTCGTGAACGGTCACTCTCATAAATATTAAATACAGAAGAACCCTTCGGTATCTGTACTACTAAATACACGCTTTTGCTTTGCAAATGACATTGTTATCACATAATCACGTGACTTTCAAACTTGTGTGCAGACCACATTACTACACAGCCGAACCTCGATTTAATGCTACCATCTGTCGCTTCTGAAATTGCTACTGAACAGACCGGCGTTAAACTGAAGTACCTTAGACAAGAATTGCATATGATAATAGGAAATATTTATGGGAGAGATCCGTTGGCAAATATTAAATGACACTTTATGAAGATGAAACTAATTTGAATGGCACTATATCGAGGTTTGACTGTATTTAGAATGTTCAGTGAAAAGTATAGGCCTATATAAGTTAAATGAAAAAATATTATCATGATCAATTCAAACGAATCAATACAGTAAAATAAAACACTTCAGTATTGAAACTGAAAAATTATATTTTTTTTAATATAGTCAAACCTTCATTTAGCGTCGTTATCGTAAAAGCACCAAAGCATACTCGTGAATGGATCTTCCCCGTATTAAACGGAGAACCTCAAACAATAAACACTAGATATATTAATGAGATCTACATACAAGTTTGAGTTTGGGAGTTTGAAAGTCACATGATATTGTAATAACAATGCCAAATTGTCTCTTTAATAATTCACAGGTACTGAAGGGTTTTTAGTTTACATTCATGTGAAAGATTCATTCACAAATATTTATGAGTGCTTTATTTAGGAAAACATTATATCGAGGCTTTATAGTATATAAATAATTTTAAAATAAATATGTTTTAATTAAACTAAACCCAAAACTTTAGCTTTCTACCAATCTGTCTATTCGAAAACAATGTATAGATAGACGCACGATCTAGTAAACCTGTTGAAAGCTTCTGGTTTAAGATAATCGATTGTTTATATTTAATAATGCCCATCATCATTATATTTTATTACTTCTATTCTAAGGCATGTCACATATTGATAGTGTAGTACATTGTACTTTATGTACTCATAAACAACACTATGGCTCCTAAATATTCCATATCTCATAGTTTATGCAGACTGTATAGTAATTATAAACTGCAAGTGTGTACAGTACATCTTACTGAATACCTTTTTTTTTTACTTATCATTCAATTTATATTTATGGAGAATTAATAGAAGAGCTATTAACTCACCATAAATGTATCATAACTCTTCATAGAAGACTATAAATAATCCTCACCTAGAAATTATTTCTTCATATTTAATATAAAATTTCTGAATCTGTAGTAATTTTTATGAAATTTAATTTAATTTTTAATAATTTTTATGCTAATGTGTGATTTATTATCATATTTATTGTAAATTTTACATATACAAAACTTGTATATTTACGTGTATAGATTGTGGCCGATATACGATCAAACCTCGATGTTGCGCCCTCGTATTAGAGCTACCCTCGTAAAGCGCCAATAAATAGTTGTAAACAGATCACTCCCCATAAATCATTCTTCAGTATCTGTGAATTACTAATGCATGATTTGCATTATTATCATGAAATCAACTCGTCATGACTTTCAAACTCTCAACCTCGAAATTGCATGTATACCTCATTACTATATGGTAATGAGGTATACACGCAATACAATTTTTATTGTTTGAAGTACTTCAGTTTAGCGTCACACTCGATTTAGTACCAATTTTAGAGCTAACAAACGATGGCGCTAAACAGAAGTTTAGACGTGTATAATTACATAATGTAACTCGTATAAATTGCCAAAGATTTAATGGACGAAATTTAATAAACGAACTATAAAGTTTTCTAATGAAATTCTTAAAAATTCTGTTTATAAAGTCTTCTATATTAAAAAAAAAAGTACTTGTTTTATTATTTTAGAAGGGTTTTATGTAAATTTTACACGATCTATTATTTACTATAACAACGTGTTTTGACATTTTATGTCATTATTGTGAAGGTTTCTGCTTACCTTTCCCACCGTTAATCTTATTTTTATGTTCGAAAATAATATAATATAACGTGATTTCGAATCTAAACATCTTCGTTATTGTTTACTCATTAAAAATGCTACGATAAATATTGTTTAGGAAGACTTAATATTCGCAGATGGTCGTAGATGAATTGACAAATATTAAGCCTTCCGCATTCTGTACTAAATTATATATATCTATTGTAATTAAGTGGCATTACTTTTCAATGCCAGTCACATCATAAGAGTTTGAAAAGTAGAACGAACCAGTCCTACACCTGCGAGGAACCGCCCATCGTTATCTTCAACTTGACAAATAGCCAGGACCCGCCTTCCTTCCAACTATACTGTCCAATTATTACTCTCTATCAGAAGATTTGATATTAGCACATCGCCCCATCTTAGATTCGTACGTGAATTATTTTCACATAGCTGCATATTTACCGTTGAACTTCGACCCTCCCGTGTCGTTGAACTATTTAACCTCGATGAGTTCTACTCACACGAATTCTTTCTATGGGTTTGGCTTCTTTAATAAAAGTAAAAATTCATTTTTTTTCCACGTAGTAGTTTACTCATTGAGTAAAATTTGGTAAGTAATATTTGTCAAGGGGTGTGGTACATTCTCAATTTTCAGCTGCACCTTAAAAGTCAAGTATTCTAGTAGCCAGATTTTGCATTGAAACTATAAACCAAAAATAAAACAAGAATAACAACAATAACGAGTACAGCATACATAATAATAAGACATCAAAACCAGAAGATTAAAAACTACGCTTATGCTTGAAATTATATACCTGATATACTTTTTTTATATTGTAATCATAGTAAATAATATATTTTTGTATTCTGAAAGTCAAATTTTGAAATAATTATATATTAAAATTTCAAAAAAGTGGTAAATATGTAGACCGACTGTTAATATTCGACCTATTATGCGAAAGAACCGAGCTCGAATTCAATCTTGATTCTCGTAAGTTAACACGTATAGTTCGAGTCGGAGTTTCGTACTTCACATTCCGCAGATGCTAGGTTACCCTACTAAGGATGTCCGCCATAATGGGCAAAATTGAGGTTAAGTGATTGCCCATTTCATAACGCGTGCCTCTAGCAAACAATGACAATATGTCTGTTGTATGCTGATGCCACGAGTTACAAATTTAAACCACTAATCCTGACTCCCACTAAGGATCAATCCTGCCATAATTGAGGATACATGACTGCCCATTTTGCAAAGCGCGTCACTGGCAAACAATGAGCACGGGTATGTTGTATGCCGATATATCTAACTTAGTGAGTCTTCCCACTAAAATAAGTTCTACTATAATTGACAAAATTGAAGCCCATTTTGTAAAGCGTGTTATTATCTAACAGTGACCATAGGTTTGTTATATGCTGGTATTCCGCAATAGAAATCCAAATTGTTAATATGAACTGAATGTTTATGAACTACACCAAATTTAAATAATAATCAGGTACAATAAATATAGTAGACTTTTTTTTAATAACATTGTACTGCAAAACCATATGGATTTTACACATTTTGTACAGTAAATAAGGTATCTGGTCGTCATATTCTTACATTTGAGTCATGTTAACCATGGGCAGTAAGCCACGTGGTGGCAGTTTTGGTAACTAGGACGTACTCGTGAGAGAAATATGCGATCAAATCACAAATTTCAAGAGAATTAAATATAATTAAAGTTATAGTAATAAAAAAAAAAAATTGAGCTTTGCACAATGATTAGGATTCATCCTCGTCGGTAATTCATCAAAATTTGACAAATTTTAGTCTCGAAAAATCACAGATTGTCCAAAATAAGCCTGCATTAAATGCATTGTACAGTACATATAATACAATTTTTAAGTATAAGATCAACTCAATTTCGAGATGTTAAAATATTTACACATATATTAAATCGCGGTTTTTTTTAATTAATAATTCCCCCGTAAAACGAAAATTTTAAAAAATAATCTTTAATTAATTAGAATAATTAATTTTTTCATGTTTTGCTTCGTTTATTTGCTAACAGATGGCGATCGAGATGCTCTGTCCGCTAGATCGTTGTGACAATGTATACAGTGCATACAGACTGTACAATTTCCGGTCAATCGACTAACCGCACTTCGTAACTTTAAGGCAGGTCCCAGCTTCATACCCAGATATACAGTCAAGTGTTCTTCACTGAGCAATTGTAGACTGGCTCCATCGATCGACTGTTCCCGGAATTTCTGCAAAGGGGAGAAAATTCTATAAATATTATGTTTAAATTTTGAAAATATACGTAAAAATACTGCTATTTTAGAAGCAATAAACACTTAAATTAAAGCAGATATGTTTGCAAACACGATCATAGTTATGAACTTTAGCGTGTTTCACGGATAAAACAAGAATAAGTGTATTATGAAAACTACATCATGTTCGTCCTTAGCAATGCTCTCTCCTGTTGTATAGAATGAATCATAAATATAGTCAAACCTCGATATAGTGCCAATAATACTTGTGGACAGAACATCTCAAATATTAGCTAAAGAACTCTTCAATATCTGTGTGTCTGTATATTAAAGGTACGATTTGGCGTTTCAAATGACATTGTTATCACCAAATTACATGATTGTCTGGTATAAGTTTGTGTCTGCAAATTCATCGCTACATATAATTCTTAATGTTTTGAGATTCTTCAGTTTAACGCCACTTTCCCTTTAATGCTATGCTAGTTTCAGAAGATATACGAGTAAATAGAGGTGTTAAAGATTTATTGTATAATAAGTAATTTTATTTCCATTATAAGTAGTTCACCTTTCAGAAAGAATAACATTTCAAAAAAGGCACACAATTGAAAATACTTTTTGCACAGATCGAGTAATTCAATAGGCCTACCTGTATTTATACATAAAAAAAAAGTACACAGTATAGGTAGCCTGCCTGTTAATACCCTTTTCTGTGATGCATAATTATGCAATGAGAATAAAAATGGTGCTTTGTAGTATAAATTCTGCTCATTAAAATCTGAAGGAAGTGCTTTATTATTGTCATAACTTCCGTAAAGTATTTAGCAAATTAATAAGAACTTACGAGGGATTTAAAAAAAAAAAAACCTTCTTACATAAAAAAAATAGTGATTTTCTATATACAATGGGCAACGTTTTTACAGTAATAAGTTAACAACTTGATTAATAACGTTATTTTCCATCTTAAATGCTAAGTAGGCTAATTACGCTTAGCATCTGTCATCTTTAGTGGAAAGTTCTGCACTAATTCTCTCGGTTTACGTCTCTTATCTCTTTATATTTATCAACAATAGTCTAAAATACAAATATCGAATGCAGTCAAACTCCGATATAGCGCACTCCTAAATAACGCAACTCATGTATAGAGCCAGTGAATACTATTGAACGAATCGCCTCTATAAATAATAAATAAAAAAATCCTTCAGTATCTGTGGATTAATAAAGATACGAACGACATTGTTATTAATAAATCACATGACTTCCAAGCGCCCAAACTCAAATTTATATGTAGACTTCCTTGTTATATATAATTCTTATTTAAAATTCTTCGGTTTTGCGCCACAGTCGATTTAATGCAAATTTCAGAAGTAATCAAGCGCTAGATCGAGGTTTGCCTATTTTTATAGCTCGGAAACGAAAGTCCAAGTTTAGAAACGAAGAAAAAAGAACAAGTGAGCATTAATCACGTTTTTATTGTTTCATTCTATGTTAATCGAGATAATTAGGCTTTTGCCTTCCAAAGACCATCTCGGGTTCAATTTTGTAATCAATCAAACATGGCTGCCACCAGTTAATAAATGGCACGTTTCTTTGCTACTTTGCAACTTGACTTGGTCTTTATATACCTAGAAAATCGAACTACCTTCACTTGTTTCGACTTTTTTTTTACAGATTTAAAACAACTTGATGCAGATGAACCTTTAATATACTGTACTGGAAAATAATTATTAAAAAAAACACAGACTTCTATAAAAATTCCATCCCTTCATCATTAATATACAAAAACCGAAACAAGAATAAAAACTAAAATCGAGCATATTAAATATATTTAATTAAGGCAAAATGGTAGACGGTTAATATGAAATTTAATTAAAAATTTCCATCGATCTTCTATCACTTTGCCATCTTTTCTTTATACAGGAGTGTTTTTTACGCTTACAAAAATTTAATTGAGGATCTTTACTGGTTGCTTTCGTTAAACATAAATCTTTAAAATAGGTAAACCATATCTATCGGCTATAAAATTAAATGCAATAAATCCATTGAATCCATCTTTAAAATAAGTAGACCGTAATTTGTCAGATGATCCAATAAATTCTTCATTCCATCACCTACTTTACTTGAAGCCTTAGGCATTGCCGAAGGTCCTTCAGAAACTAGAAGTTATATCACAAAATCCTTCAGAGTTCGAACTATAAAATGTGGAATTGACTTTAAAATTCTCATTTTTCTAGTTATACTTTCTTCATTCCACCCATCCGACGCCATAAAACAAGCTGAAGAAGTCCTCAAATGAGAGAAGTTACAGTAAACTTCTTTAAATAAAACACAATGGATTTTAAAATATCGTTATCCATTAAAAAATTTAATGGATTCTTAGAGGCTATTTTTCTCTCTTCGCAAAAATAGAAAAGTATAAAATTACAGAAAATTATTCTACCTGACAAAAAATAATTTCGTAAAAACAGGAAGTTTGGATTGAAAAAAAGAAAAAAAAAAATAGAGCGACTTTGATGGGGGAACCAGTCTAGTACAGAATAGGCATCAAGTGCAGGCGTGCATGAAAAGGTATTAGATGCATTGCGTAAGGTCAATGGACTGGATACAGTCACAAATTGTCAACTGTTGCCCACCTTATATATTAAAAGACAGGTGTGATCCATTTGAATCAAGATTTAACAATCAACCGTTGTCATATGAAGAAGAAATACAATTTCAGTGATGTATACAGAAACAATTCATAACACAGATAGACATTTTCGTACTGCTTCCAACTATTTTCAATTTATTTTGAAATGTATAATTTCGCCTTACTTTTTCTGTCAAAACCTTCGATAAATTCATTTCTAATGATATATATATATATACTTTTTTAAAATTTATATTTATTCTCCAATGAAATCAATGTTTAATCTGAAAATTACTCTCGAATGGCCTCGCGATATCCGTTATGTCTGTGGATAATTTTTTTTTTGATGTGGGTAAAATTGATTGAGAAATCTTGCGAATTTTTTTGAATTGCTAAATTTTTTGCTAAATCATGCAATCTAGAAAAACTTGAAAGTTTCTTACCAGAAATTTCAAAAAACTTAATATATTTCTAGAATTGAAACTCGTTAATTTCTACAAATCGATTATTCAGGGGAATCCAATTCATATATCTCAGCTCTCTCGTTTCTTCCATAGACTTCAATCAACGTTCTGACCAAGTTTTAAAAATTCTACTAACTCGTCACGATATAATCCACTTTCAGAGTTCAAAAATGGCAGAAAAAAGATAATTTATAACAGATTTTATAACTTCGAAAGTTTTTTAGATTATGAAATTCGCCATTAATCAACAGATTTAGTTTCAAAGTAACTTTTATGTTGCAGATTTTGGTCTGTCGATTTGTTAACTCTAACGTTTATATACGCAATTTTTACAAATGTAACCTCTTATGCCCGGAGCAAATTGTTATGCCACTCCTTAGTTTCGCATATTATCTTCACTCTGAAGATAATTTATAGTATGATAATTATCATAAGCGAGTCAATATCTTTTTTCTATCAAAGGACTCTCATAATTCTAATCATATTAAGCCGTATATCCTCGATACTAATACAGAGACCATGGTAAACAATGAGTTGTAAACCTGTAATTTTTTGTATTCCTGGATCGTTTCTTTACGAAAAGAACCGGTTATACCCTGCAGCTACCAGAAATGATCCTACCGGAAGTAGATAAATAGCAACTTCCGGAGAAAACGATAATTTGAGTACGTTTTTTTCAGTTGTATTGTCTACTTTTATAAAGAAGTCTACACTAAACTTGTCATTGTTGTGACTCCGATTCTAATCAAAAGTTGAACTGGTAAATATTAAGATAAGAACCCTAATTTGTACGCACATCTGGACTTTGTAATTTTAGTTTTTTTGAAGTAATTCAAGTTTTTCTCATTTCCGAAATTAATATATTTAAACATGTCGAAAGATCTGAATTGCTAATGGAATGAATAATTGTGGAAAGGAATTTGTTTACAGTAAAATGTAAGAACATTTTGTCAGGTAATTTTTTAGCGAAAATAATTGATAATTTCTCCACTTCTTACCTCTACGTATTCACTGCAAGAGTCTATCGACGTCACAAATTTGACCACATCATCAACAGTCCAATGTGAAAGTTCGTTGTCCGATTGGTTAGAACAAGGTGACGACGACCGCACCCTGTTGGCAAGCTTGACGAGCACGTTGCCAGCTGAAATGTCTTGATCCGTTTGCCTACTGTCCAATAATGTTAACCAATGGGGAGCGCGTTTAGTCCTCATATTGTCTGTACATTCGTTGATTTCGTTCTTATTATGCAACACATAACATAAGTCACGAGGATTAGATGGTGCCGCTAAGCAATCCGTCCTGGATTGTTTACCTGGACTGACAGACAAGTCTAGAGGATCAAATTTTGGATCACCCTCGTTCGTTCTTTTTCTAGATCCTCGAAGATACGATTCTAACTGAAGAGCACTATGGGCACTAGCGGTGCGGACAAGATTGAGTAACGTCTGTGAAGAGGGAAATTCGGATAAAGACTGTAAATCACTCAGAACTGGAGGAGATTGCTTCCTGTTGTCCATCGTTTCCAATGCTGGATTGAAGATGGGAGAAATGACGGCGCTCTTGAAACTTCCATCTAAGTTCCTCAGGAGGCCATTTGTAGGAGCACAATTTACACTGAAAATAAATCAAATTATTACAAATTTGTAAGAAATTATTGCTAAATTATATAAATTCTCTAAAAATTTTCTACAGTGTTCTCCGAATTAAATCTATAAAACAAGACTGGAGATAAAAAACCAATTTATTACCAGAGGGACCGTGGTTGAAATCCTAATTGAATTCTCATAGTTTATCACAAGTAATGTGGATCGGAAAATTATTACCCATCTTTTTACCACATTACTTGAACCCGTGATGGTTTTGTCTTTCTATGTATGGACAAAATTGAGGCGTGCCATATCACTTTGCTACTCTACGCATTACAAAACCAAACCAAACCTCGTATAACTTAAAAGGCCTATATACATTATTGTTACCTTAAAAATCAGCCAAAAAATTTATTTATAAAAACTTCAATATCTAACTAAAGGATGAAAAGTTATGTGTAGACCGGAAATTCTTAACTACATCATTTTAGAACATTAAGAATTCATCTTTTTTGGTTGGAAACAAGGTGATTGTACCCCTTTTTTCTCTTCATAACTCAAAAGATAAACATCAATCCTTGCCCTAAAGAGTAACGTATAGTGTAATTATTAACATTTATTAACATACGATGCTCGTGAGAAATAGCATTCCTGTAAACATGAACTATTTCTTTTAATAATAAAGAGACATTATTCTTCAATCTTTACGAGAAATTTCCTTAAATCACGCGATTTACTTTCAATCAGTTTTAAGATTTCAGGAGTAAAAAAAAAGGGAAATTAAGTGGGATGATGTCGGTGCAGTTGAAAGGAACTAGTCAGGTCACTAACACCGAAATGCCAGGTGAAAAAAAACCTTGTGGATTCGAACATGAACCAAATCCCGCGACAATGAGTCCCCTGAGCATGAACTAGCCCGAGGCATAGATGTTATTCAGATAGGCCAGTCTGGAGAATGGATACAGTGTTCTGACAGTTATGGAGGAAGAAGCAGGATAGGTCGTTAGAAGTAATGGGTACTCCGCCCCATTAGGGTTAGATAGCCAGGAGCTTGTCCGCGCCCAAGAATTGTGCATCTAAATACGTTGACCCGTCGCCATGTTGAATGCCCCGGGGCTGTTCCAGTTCAGGAATGATGCATGCAGTAAGGACGTCTAGTAGGTGCAGGTAATAATTTATAGCTGCGCTGGCGACAACAACAACCACCTGGATGTGGACGCTGGACCACTCCCAGGGTGGCAACGCTGTCTGGATGCGGCTCCCTTTTGCCTCTACTGATAACATGCTCTCTTTTCATCTGGCTAGCAAATATGCCTAACCATCGAGAAACCTATTTATCTTGAATGAAACTTGTCTTTATGTCTCTTTATCTTTTTCTTTACTTACAATACGTTTATAGTTTCAAAGCCGACAAATGAATCCAACGTCTTTCGACACTTTCCTGATCTGCAGAGCGCTGAAATTCCGTTATTTTCCTATTTAAAACTACATTTGCCCTACTTTCCACGTTCAAATAATCACGCCGCAGATAATTAATAATTATTAACTTCAGAGGGGTGAGAAAGTACATAAATAGGGTGATTTTCATCACAATTTTGGATAGTTTACACATATTGTAAGCGATTTTTCAAGTAAATGTTGAAATAAAATAATTTCTAGAATTAATTATTAATTTTATGTTGCTTAAAAATATGCAAATTACTCAAAAAACATTCAAAAATTAAAGTCATTCAGATTTTCCCACCGTAGAAAATTTTCTCATGCGATTTCTCATCCTATCGTAACCTTTCACCGTCCAGATATTTAAAGATGCTTCTGCAATACTAATTACGATGCTTCTTCAGTAATGATTATTTTTGTGGTTACGATTGCAAACAGTTTACGAATTTCCTGCGGTTACGTGAGTCATGCAACGGGACAAGAATAATAAAGAGTTACAAAGAGAAAATGCATCACAATAGTTAATGAAATGAGTGAAATTGTTGCACTTGTACAGTACATCCCTAGGAGATGATAATACGAAGTGAATATCAAGATGATTATTTCTTATAAACTTTAACTGAGATTCTTTCTTATGGAACAGGTTAGTCTCCGAATGGTGCCAAAGTTCAAAATGTGTGTGTGCAGCAAGGTTAAGACAGTAGTAACATTCAAACAAGAGAAATATGTTCAGCTTTAATGTCTTTCCAAGTGGTTACCGCTGCCGTGTTTATGTTTTCTTTACTATCTGCATTAATTTATATGGACTTCTTTGGCATAAACCACACGAAAATCCACATTATTCGCCATAAAGATATGAAAATGTGAGAAAGAAACAGCAAAAAAAAAAAAATACGTTAAAAATCGCCGGGAAAAAAAACGTCAACGTTCTTTAGTAAAATAAATTATTATTCATTTCTCATTTGCATACGGAGTAATTTTATATGATGATAAGAGTGATTTTTAACACCAATTTCAATGCTTCAAGCTTATTAACAAATTGATGTTTTGGAAGGAATCCAAATCCAAGTTTATCAACACTTTATTTCTTTATAAAAAGCGATGTGCTCTTTAATTATTTCATCTTAAAACAAACTTTTCTTGCTTATAAGACACTTAAACTTTCCGTAAATAGACTAGGTATTAAATAAAATATATTGAAAACATTTTTTAAATTTATTTATGGCACTTTCGTAATCGTTGTTCATATTATTAGTGAGCGTAACTCATGAGGTAACATGATTAAATCAGTATTGTTTTTAGAAATTCTAAGCAAACAACTTCCAAAAATGCAATTGAATTATCGAATTTCTGATTTTTATTAAGACTTAAAGCGAACGAAACGATTAAAGAAAGTTCAGTAATTAGGACCTTCATATTTATCCAAAATGTTTGACAAACAAACAATTTTTATCTCCTCCATTTATGAATTTTTAGAACAATTTTGAAAGAAAGAAACTAAAAATTTCGCAGAAATATGAGTGGACCGGATGAGGTCCTAACCCACGTTATTTCCTAATTCAAGCGCTGATAGCTTAGTTAATTAAAGCGTTAGGAATATAGAAAACGTGGGTTCGGATCCTAGGCGCGGCTTAATACATTTTTTTCTGTTTATTTCTTGATTTCTTGCTTCGAGTGGGCTGTGTTTGGCGTTAAACGAAACACTTGAGTTTATTATATAAATGTATTTTTGGAATACTTTTCAGAGAAATTAATTTCCTGTTTCCTGGCCCAATCTATACATAGTCCTGTAAGCTACAACTTCACTAATTTTGTCAATATAGGCCTACTTATGCATATTCTACTATTAAATGTCAGCTTTTAAACGCTAACTTTAAAATATTGTAATAAAAAATTAAAAATTACATTATAAATTTAGCATAAATGAATTATTTAACTAAAAATTAACCATAATTCACTATCACTCGTGGAAAAAACAACATTTCGAGTGGCCTGTTATCTATTGAAAGAATAGATTTTGTAAAATTCTAGACTAAAAATATCCATTAAAATTAATAATTTAATAATTTATAATTAAATATTACATAGCCTAATAATTTTATGGTTCCTAGAGCAGTATAAACAGCATTTCATAACTTGGAAAGTCAAAAATCCACACAGATGGAACATTTAGGTCTACATTATATGTTAATTACAATCTAAAGCTATCATTATAGCAAATTTAGATAAAAGAAAAAAAGTCAAAAATCCACACAGATGGAACATTTAGGTCTACATTATATGTTAATTACAATCTAAAGCTATCATTATAGCAAATTTAGATAAAATAAATGAATCTTTACAGTAATTAATTATAGATATAACACACCGTAAAGTACAGTTTTCGAAAGAAGGTGACGTCCTCCACCTTGCAAAGGGTCGAGATCGAAAAGTGCTCGACGTGTTTTTAGTATTAGGAGCCTTCGAACTTCCTTCGGGATGTAAATTGACTTGAGGCGTTTGTGGACGCACGTTATTGATATTACTCGACATAAAGATGGATATTATTTTGTTTGACAAGCACGGAACTCAGGTCAACCACTCCGTGGCTCGTCACGCTCTTTCGTATAACCTAACCTTACTTCGGTCGAGCCTCATCACGGAAATTTCTGTATCCATTGTTTCTCCGGAAATACCAATTTCCTACTTTGTGACTTGAAATTTTTGCATTTTATCATTTTTAAAAATATTCATTACATACTATTTGCATAAACCGAGTCAAATATGCTTACTCTTGTGTGATTTTACACGCAAGGAATAGCATGCAAAACCCTCTTTTCACGTCAATTTTTAAATGGATATATACAGACTTCTGTATATTTGTTTGTGAATAAACTATTGGCATATGTTATTCTGCTATATTCTCTGCACAAGAGTTGCATATGCCAATCCTCTCCTACGTTTTCTATGCACCAGAATCTGCTATATTCTAAGCATTCTATACTCCAAAGTATCATAGCAAAGAAACTATTCAGTATATTATATTGATAGAAAGAAAATAACAGAATAATAAATAAATATTCCATTATATAACTAGTTCTTTCAGTAAATTTTATGAATTTTGATCTTTTTTAACAGAACTATGGTTCTCGAATTTCATTATTTACATTAGTCTAGGATTAATGGATATACTTTCTGATATTTTCTCAGAAAATTCTGATTTCTGTAGAAAAGTTTGGTAATTTTTTTAATTCAAAAACTACTGATTTTTATATTAAATAATATTCAAGCAGTTATTATTTCATAAACATTAAAAAAACTCATTTTATAGAGTTAAAGTAATTTAATTTACATAAAGTTTTGAGTGCCAATTCATGGCAAACAATTACCAAATAGGCAAAAAATGATATATAAATTTATTATATCCGTATAAAAATCACAATATAAAATACACGAGTACGTATTTGTAACAATTTTTTTTTTAGATATAAAAACAAAGTTACACCGGGATAACCCCATTTCTCCATAAAGTATTCTATTATTATGAATGACGCGCACTGATAGGAAAACAGGAAAATCGGTGCAGTGTTTGGAAAGCTTTTGACATAATAAATAAATATGCACAGTTTTGTTTTTATTATTTTCATTTAATTATAAGGTGCCATAAAAGTAGACCCCTATATAGACTAGTTCCTCGTACAAGACGATAAAAGAGCAGAATTTCAATCAGTAAGTTACGCCCTTTTGATGTTGAAATAATAAGATTTGTTTATTTTAAGTCTTTATATCACTTCTTAAAATGTTAATATCTAAAAATAAACAAAGTTTTAACCATTTTAACAAAGAAAGAATCGGTAATTTGGGAGAAAATGTATTACAAAAATTACGTTTTCTTTTTAAACTACTTGATTTTTTCTTTATAACAATTAAATGCCCAACAATTCTGTGGAGTTTTTGGGTATTTTAGAAAAAGATCTTATCTATATACTTAATACACAGAAGAACAAGTGATTGATCGCGTAACACATAAGAGCAAACCGATCACGCAACGTAATGGCGTGTTTTAGACAAAACATAAAATCGATTACACTTCGATTTTGGCTATATAGTCTGGTGTTCGAGTAACAAAGTTAATTTCTTTTATTCTTCAATCTGTCTTCTGTTTCGTACGTATCACACAATACCGAAAAAGAAATACGTAACACAAATCCAATCGCAGAAGATCGAAAACAGGACTTATAATATAGGATCGATCACAGAAGATCGAATTATATTATGAGTATTGTTTAAATATTTCAGAAGATCGATCAAGTGATTGAAGAAATTAACGTAACGCGACTAAGAACCTACAGTTTTATGGCACTTATTAGATTGAAAGGCTGTCTAACAATTCGTAAAGAAGCGTTCACTAACAAAAAAAAACACAATTGTAAAAAAATCGATTAATAAATCAAGTTTAAGAAACAAACAATCATTGCGATTCGTTGAAATTGTCGGTCTCAACACACGAGTCGTAAATTGTCTCATCGTGCTAATAACCAAGCCAATCTATGAAGGCTTTTCCTGTGTAGTAACGGAAAAAAAGGAGGTTCACGTCCTATTCAAACCGAGAAACCCTTTTATTTATGTGTGAGAAGGTCTAGGCTAAACAATACCTCATTAACAATATATACCTTTTTACAAATAGGGCATTATGTAACGGTCCAGACACTATTACCAAATATAACAGCATCTTAAGTTTTTGTGGCTATCAAAAAGTATCTTTATAGACCTCTACTAATTACTCTATCTTTTGTTTATTCGGCTCGAAAATAAACTATCCTCGATTCAAACTGTCCTCTTGTTCTCATTTTTTTAAAATGATATATAAAGGATCTACTGATCTCTAGGATAAAGGAACAACTTATTCCTTTATCCTACAAGTCAGTATCAAATTCTTTCTACATTGATCTACTCTCACCTTAGGCAATTCATATAAACAGCCACTGTTTTAATCTATTTTAATGTCTCAATTCTTCAAAAAACAATCAAAATTCGCATTTTTTAGAATGTTGAACATCGAAACACACGAATTAAATCCCCGTTTCTGGTTAAAAATCAACAGAATCGTTACAAAAACCAATGATAAAATCATAAATTTACATCTTCCCGAAGGCCTACCCGTTACGTAAACACTGATGAATGTTTTAAAATTAAACTTGAATCCAAATTAAAACAAATTATATCTAAGTGAAATTACGAATAATTTTTTAAATAAAAATTATAAAGTTAATATCGGTAACGAACGATTTCTAAGTTATTGGTCTAGAAGAATGTCTTTTTTTTCGTGATACGATATACTTAAATACAGAAGAGACGTTTGATTTATGTGAACCATTAAACCATCGCAATATGCAAATTTTATAGCAAGGTTACAACCCTCTGTAGTTTAATGAGAATAATAAAAGACGAATATGAGCCAAAAACCGTAAATAACAGTTTGTTTGCCAAACGGTACACAATTAAGATATTAGTTTACAGCAGACAATTAAGTGAAATGTATAAAACATGCGAATGAGATTAATGAACATTTATTATATTCAGTGACATCAAAGCGCACGTTAATTATATGTAAGAGGTAGAGAAAAATTGGAGAATTCGCGTTAATGAGCCTCATCTACAGAACATCTAACTCTATCATTATAAATAGGTTAGTCCCCGTTACGCAAAAAGTCGATGTTTTCGGAATTAGAATGATCGTCACTAGAGCGTAACAGGTAAAACCTCAACCCTGTTTAATATTATCTTGCTAATTGTTAACGTGCGACCGATTCTATGATGGAACCATTACAGAAATGGAACATAAATCGAAACGGTCCAAAGATGTCAGAACAATGAAACAAAGCAACCGTTAATTAGAAAAACAATACTAATTTTAGCTAATCTAGCACACGAGGAGGTAGTAAATGAAAGACGTTCATATTTAATACGTGAGAATAATGTACGAGGTGCAAGGGGGTTGGCGACCGTTTGCCCCTACACGTCACTTAAAACTATTAAAATCTTTACACTCGATAGTGTTCGAGGGATACTCGTGATTGTTTAGGCCTAGTTAAGATAACGTTAGCCCGAGGAACCATCACGAATCGGTCACCCGACAATAACTACAAACGATAGAAATAACGATTAGCCGGAGGTTGCTATTAATTATTGTTTATAAGTTACACCCATTATCAATAAGTGCAAGACGAAAAAAAGGGTATAGAGAAAATTACTTACGATTCTTGCGCATGCTGATTGTTGTACTTTGCAGCCAGACTCCTCATGAAGTCACTGTAGTTGCGAGTCATCATCTCCATCTGTTTGATGACGGGTGTGCCACACAACAAATTATTGGCAGAGAAGTAATCGGCGGCCGAACTCTCGGCGACCGACGCCCTACCCGAGCTAGGGCTCTGTGAAGGGCTGATGTCGTCGGGCTCAGGACTGTACCTCTCCACCTTGACGGCTACGGAGTCACCTGCATCGCTTTCCACACCACTAGGACTTAGCTTGTCTGTAGGCATATCGGTGTTTCGCCCTTTGAACGAAGTACCAGGGCGGTGCATGGGAGATGTCTTCTGGGGAGGGGACAGCTTAGCACGCGCAGTCCAGGCACCCGTAACTGGCTGTTGACCTCGGGACGGCGGCGTTCTTTGGGATCCTGGCGGTTATTGGGCCATCCCTGCCCTGGGGCAAAGCACCGTTTCACTTCTGGTCCTCGCTGGTTGTTGAACTCCTCCTGGCCGGTCTGGCAGAGATCTAGGAAAACAACAGATACGCTTAAAAAAACCGACTCACCCGGCAACGTGATACTAAGTAGTGCGGAACGTGATGGACACGCGTTCTGCGTGACAACCGCACGCGTCCCGGTACCCCCCGCAAAAGGGGCCAGAAAAACGAGTAGTTGGCGTAACACGAACTGCCGCACGGTTATTCATCATAGAAATAGTCTTTTCGGGTAACGAACCGTACAGTTTTTTTTTTGTGTTTGCTGCCAAAATACGCGTTCTTCTCTGTATTTTATAAGAGCAGGTGCTCTAAATTTTCCTCTAACAGATAATTGTTTCCGCAACCTCCCTGCAAAAACAAGCACCTGTTGTTGGAGAAGACTGCCATTGGAGGGTTCTACCTAGCAGGTGTGCCCATACTTTCAAAGTTTATTCGTCACGTAACTAAAGATATAAAAAAAGGGACTAATCCATTGACATAAAATGATGTTGGAAGAACGTGATATCTTTAGATAAAGATGACCGACATTTACATCTTTTCTTTAACGGGAATAAAATCAGGCTAACCTTGATATAGGCTAATATCTGAACCGATGTCAAACAGGTGAACAACACAACATTATTGAACGCCGTTTTTTTGTTAACGTGACTAAAGAATTGCCCGAGTCACAGAAAACTTTGAATATTTTCTTTTATACTCGGAATTATGTCATTTTTTGGACAAAACCGTGATTCTTTTGTTCACCAATCCAGGAAGATTCACGATATTAATAACCGCAAAGATTATTTGAGTAAAAGATAAAAATTTATACAAATATATTCTAAAATCAATCAAATATAACCTTTAATTAATTAATTAATTAATTTTTTGGATATATTTAAATCTTGGAACTAGACAATTGTATTTTTTTTTTTCTTTTTTGTAATCGATTGCTCAGACTCCACTGTTACGATCGATCACTTCAAGTCTGACGAATAACGTTGTTAATCGATTATTTTTTTGTGAATTTTATATTCTCGCGTGCTTCTAAATTTTATTTTTAGTATGTGCATGTAAATTTCACATTTTTCAGCACATCAGAACACGTACCACATTTAAATCACACCTCTATCAATTACAACTAATAGCCTTCATCTCTTAATTGAGACGTATGTCGGTCTGTTCATATTCTAAAATAAAACTATTTTTATATTACGTAATTTTTAAAATTTATTTTTTAGATATCTTTTAGCTTTAACGTGATTTTATTTCATTAAAAGCGTCACGGTTTACGAAATCGGAAAAGCATTCATTATGTTGCAAAAACTTTCCAGGATATGACGAACTATTGAGGATAATAAAACGAAATATTATCCAAAATTCCAAAAATAATCTTTCGTTGTAACAAGTTATAACTCTTTTATTAATTTTGTACGATTAAAGGCAAAAGAATCACAACTTCAAGATAGAAATACGAGGTTTTATACAAGTGAAAGGAGCATGAAATTAGTCTTGCTTCTCGCATAAATCTAGTTAAATTATATAATACTTCTCTCAATTAAACAATTACATGTAGCGGAATGCGAGATGTGTGCACAGGATGCAGAATTCGAGTCGATATAATTCCCACACCTGATCGGCATGTCCTGTTTCTCACATCGCACGTGTGACACCTACTCTATCGGCCAACATCCGGGCCCTGTTTTGACCTTGGCATTAACAGGTCAGGGGAGGTAACCACAGGCTGCACCTGTCTCGCGCACCTCCACGTCTGCGTGGGTTCAGAACTGCACCCAGTGCAAGCAACGCATACACATACACATACACATATACACATACACACCACGCCCTTAGCTTTTTCATCCATTGTAAATTTCTGTCACGCATCGGCAATACCCGACTTTAATTGGTCGGGTAATTACGGCAGAGACTGGTGTCCAGTTCTCACGTGTATATCAAACCTTCTAATCACTCTGTGACCTCTTCACATATGTCACACATACAAGCAATGACATCGTTTATAAGATTGGGTGGGTCAGGGTTACCTCGGGCATCGGGGCCTCGTTGGGTGGGGTCTGCACTTTTTCAGTCACTCTCTCTTTCTTTCTCTCTTCGGTTTCATCCTACTGTTTTACCTTCTATCTTCACCTGTTCTATTATCTACTCTGATAATTGAGAGACAACTTTGGTCGAAGGATAATGGATACAACGCTTTTCAAAAAAAAACAAAAGATAATTTCCAATTTAACAATATACTTGGGGATGAGAGATTATTGCTTTCTGTATTAAAATATTGCCTTCTATTTTTTAAGTATTGCATTTTACTTTAAAAACACTGCTTTCTAGTATAAAAAAAAATTTGATTTCTATTTTAGAACACTACATTATTAATCTAATGGTTTCATTCTGTTCTAAAAGGTTGACTTCTATTCTTAAAAATTGCTTTCTAACTTAGTGTTTTTGCTTCATAGTTAATAATAGTTAATATTGTTTTTATGCCAAAATATTGCATTCTAATATAGATACTACTATCTATTGTAAAAAAGAGTTATTTATCTGCTAAACAACTGTATGACGTTCTAAAATGTAACCTACTTTCCTTATATTAAAACATATCTTCTAGTTTTAACAATATATGCAATAAATAGTATTAAAATTGCTTTATGTTCTAAACACTTGTTTCTAATCTGAAGACTACTTTCTAGTCTAAAGCTTGATTTATATTCTAGAAAACTATATTTTAATCTAGAGGTTGATTTATGTTCTAAAAACTTACTTGTTATTCTTAAAAATTTCTTTCTATACTAAAATATTGCATTCTAATTTAAACACAATTTTCTAAACATATGCTTTCTATTGTAGAACATTACTTCATATTCTAAACAATTTCATAATGTATCTCTCTATTCTAAAATATACTTCTACTGTTGATTATATACATTGTCAACAGTATAAAAATTGCTCTCTACATTAAAATATTGCAGTATTATAAATACTGCTCTTCCATTCTAAACACCTGCTTCCTAATCTGAAGACTACTTTCTATTCTAAACACTGTATACACTATAAAAGATACTTTCCACTGTTGGCAGTGTACACTATCAACAGTAGAAGGTACATTTTAGATTAGAGAGAGTAATTTTCTAACAATTATCCCATTAAAATTGAACTTCATATCATAAAATAAATTGAGTAATACTGTAATTGGATCCTTCAAAAATTAATTTTTATTTATTTATTTACAATGGGAATTCCTATTAAATTTTAAATTAATGTATAAATTATTACTAGAAAATGTCAAGTAGCAGGTAATATCTGGTAGTTGAAAATCGAGAAAAGTAACTTTCTCATACCGAAAAGTATTTTTATTAAGAAAAAAGAAAAAAAACTAGTTTTGTATAGTGTAATTGCTGATTTTTAATGAGAAAAACATCAACAAAACAGCTTTTAAACTTTATCTTTAGTATTTAAATTAATTTAAAATTAGAAACTACCATTAAAAATTAAAACAAATTATCGCATTATAGAGAATTAAAAAGTTTGTCTAGTGTCCATAAAAATATAATAGAATTTAATAGAATTTTAAGTGTATTTTTGCTAACCTTGTGTGAAATACTTCTCAACACGTCGATCGCGAGCTACACAAATGAATCATTTTAATACTTTTCCTACCGGGTAACCTAACTTTACGAAAAGATTGAGAAACACTGTTTATGATTATAAACAAGGTTGAATAAATGTAGATAAATTGAAAGATATGACAAATTTATATAATTTTAAATATAATTTCAAATTAAATTTAAAGATATTTATATATATTCCCAACTAGTAGATCGCGGGCCACACATTCAATGATTTTGCAATAGAATAAACGTAGATCTTAGAAAAGGTTGGGATGTAGTGTTTAGTGAAGTTTACAAGCCAAATGAAGCGAAATAAATATAGATCTAAAAAAGAGATAAGAGCATCACACAAATTAATAATGAAAATATAATTTTTAAATGTGTTAAGGAAGATAATACTTAGAAATAATAGAAAAAGTATAGCTAACTCTAACAGATTTTACAGTAAAAAAAAAAAGGTAAACAAAGTTGACAATCGTAAGATTTGAAGAAATTTTTAAGTGTTTTTATTGGGGATCAAAAAATTCGAGTCTTAAGTGTCAGGAAAAATAACTAGAAGCAAATCCTATTACATTGAAGACGTTTCATTTGTTCTGACAGCGCACAAAAACAACCTCGGGCCATAATATTACATAAGCACTCGGAGGAGGCACAAGTCTCTACCTAGTAGTTAAATGACAATTTTAAGAAACAAGACAGTTGAGGCTCTCACTCCCTTATTCACAATATTCTACCCCTTCTTCCGTTTTAAATTTCCCTATAAAAATTAGGTTATTAACGAAAAATTTTGCTAATTTGCATAAAGAACTTTTATTTCGATTGATAAATTAAGGAAGTTATATATATCAAACCAACCCCCCTATATTTGGGAATATCCAGGCATTGCCCTAATTATTATTTTTAAGGCATTAATCATTAGGGCAACCCACGCACGCCCGGGGGCACCCACTTGGGAGGCTCTCTCTCTCTCTCTCTTTTTTTGTAATGCCTCGGGGACATGAACGATTATAGAACTGGCTCTGAACTCACGTGATCTATTAAGAGTCTTTAGAAGACTCCCCAATGGCTCAGCATCTTACGCCATTAATTTACCTTCCACCCTTCTACTACATGGTTTATAATTAGAAAGACAAAACGTCGAAGACGCACAGAAAAAAAAAACACCTCCTTCCCATTTTGTAAATGTCACAAATTATTGACCGTGACAAATAGATTGTGATCACTTAGTCCTACTTATATTAAAGTAGGCCAAAGATTTTAAGTAGGACCGTGCTTAATGCCAAGACGTTTAATGATTAGAAGGGCAGAGAACTCTTTCTTTAGTGTGACGTATCGTTTGTGACGATTTGTCACACGAAATTAGCGCATTGGATCGCTTTACTTCATTCCATTACTCTTCGTGTCACTGAAACTCCATTCAACTTATATTGATTATCTGTACAAAAATAGCAATTAATAACATTTCGCACGCTATAAATTATGTTTCATTCATTAAAATATCATCTAAATGTATCTTTCTCCTATTTAAAACCAATTATTAACTGTAAGATTAAATGTGTAACTTAAATTTGCGCATTTTTGTCACTTAAATTACTTCATTATACATTTAATATTCTAAGAAAAGCATAAATTATAAAGACTTATTATACCAAAGTTCTTGAACATGCAAAAATATTCGAGAATATCTTATTTTTCGAACATTCAATGTCCAATATATTTGAATATTTAACACTAATACTAAGTACCAGTATCTGATATCCTCTCAACACTAACACACTATATCTTATGAATAAATAATATTTAATACATTCAATACGTCAATACATTTGTATTTAAATATATTTTTTAATATTCTATATTATATTTTAGAATATCTAATCATACGCAATATACGGATAGACATAGCAATCTTAACACTTTTTTATTTTGAATATCCATACGGGGCCATCCATTAATTACGTATACAGTTTTTGGTCACTTTAGACTCCCCCTGTTGTGTCAGTAGTGTACTTTTAGCAAACCCTCCCTTTTAATTACGTGTACGATAGTTCATAGACCCCCTGAAATTAAAGAAATGACTTTAAAAAGTTCTGTAAATATTTCCTAACTCATAGTTTATTCACGTAACTAAGCTTATAAGAACAAATTTGTATGCTACTAATATCATTAAAAAAGTCCACTTGAACAATGCTACGACCCCTCTCGCTCCCCATCGTGTACAACAATTTACTTTTAGTGACCCCCTTCCTCCCTTAAACTGTATACAGTATGTAATTAATGGGCAACACCATGTTTTAAACATTAAACATTCAGCATTTTTTAACATCTTTTGTGCATATTATATTTAATATATTTGAATATTTAGCATTTGTGAACATTTAAATGGCAAGTATTTTGAACATTTACTATGTTTTAAAAATCCAATACCTAATATTTTTTACCATTTCAAACTTTTCGGACATCCCACTAAATACTTATATGAACCTCTTCGTATCTATTATTATTCTAATTTATAAGGAAAAACAAATAAAATGAATTATATAGAAATTATATAAAACTTTAATAACACTACCAAGAAATAAATAGTAAACCTTACTTCCTTATTAATAAATGCTTCTCTAATAACTGTAAGGACATTCATAATGGGTTCATTTTATTATTTTAAACTATAATTAAAGCCCAAAAGAAAGGTATAATTGCATACACCATAAAGCAGTAATAATCAAATATTTACTTTATAAATAAATATACAAAAAGAAATATTTTTAAATATAATTTTAACGTGCCTGAAGGTAATTTTTGAAGCTATTAAATTGTTTTTAATGCGTTAAAGTATCCTGTCATAAAACCCGATATGAATCTAACCTCGATAGATGATATAAAAGTGACAAAAATTTTTCTGATCCTCCACCTGAAATCACGTGACTTTACTGATCTTTCAATACCAGTAGCATGAAAAAAAGTAAAGTCAGGAAGTTTACAATTCAGACAGAATGAGAACACAATGTAGAGTAGGTCAAGGAATGGCGGTGGAAAACTAAAATAAAAAAAAAGAAAGAAAAAAATTCAAAAAATCAAAAAAGACAGTTCCTTGTCGGTATTTTCATCGCATAAGAGATAAAACTGATGACGATCAACACACTAAATTCTAAACCTTTCTGACGTCATTTCCTGTATTCAGACCAGCTGTTAACATGTTTTGACCTTAGTTACAAGGGTCAGGGTTGCCTCAGTCATTACAGAAGGGTTAAAGCGTCTGACTAGCATTATCCTAAATTTATACGGACTGACAGTAATTTCTAACGTTTAATCAACAATCGCAAAATGAAATTTATGAGTTTTGTACTGCGTAATAAAAGATATTAAGTGGTTAATTTGTACAACCATCTGGTAGAAAATATATATTTTAATATATAAATTAAAAAAAAAATTGAGCCAAAAGTTAGTGTATTTTTTTAAATCAAACTTTACAAAATGAGAAATCTAATAAGTGTATTTATACATAAAGGATACTTAAAATACACACGCTTATAAAGATCTAGTAATACATATAATTATACATAAAGATGTAGGCTATACTTACACAGAAGAGTTACTAATACGTGTACAGTACATATATTAATACATAAAATGGTACTATACGTATATAAGTCATACATATTTACATAAATTATATAATATATTTAAATACTACTAAATAATTTGCATAAAATATCTTAAAATTATATAACATCAGTTTGGAAATTTTTATATAAACTTACGCATTAAAAATCGTATAATTAACATTAAAAATATGGAGAGTGCTTACCTTTAACAATGAATATTATAGGCACCACTTGCAAAACTCCTATTAAAAAAGGAGAAACGAATACATTTAATTATTAAAGATAATACAATTGCTGATCTTAAGAAAATTTTGTATCATTAAGACGTACAATTATGCTAATCTGTTGACACGAATGTTAAGTTGTGACTTTCTGTACAAAAGATACAGTTACGAGTTCCTGACAACACCATCCATCAATACCCAAATTCATCACTAGAAATAACAATAAGGGTGAAGTAAAAATGTAAGGGGCCACAGCACTTTACTGCTATTAGTTTCATCAACAATAGAGCACAACATATTCTAACATGAAGATTATTCATCTAACAATGTCGGATGTCAACCGACGACGCTTTCTATACAAATCTTTTCACTTTGTAGATTAAAATCTTACTTGTTAAATTATTATTATTTTCTTTAAAGCTTAATTTACTTTCTATACAATTTATAGGACATAATTTTGATGGAAAATAAATATAAAAATATAACTATCTTAAGTTGAATATTAAGCGAGAAGTTGGGAGGAAAAGGTATATAAAATATTCATAATGATAGAGCAAAAAATATGCAAGCAGGTTGATAATATTTTCTCACGAATGATATCCCTCCCATTTATTTAGGGTTTCAAGGCCCCTTTCCGCTATGCATTCTTCGAATTTGTGATCACTATGCTCCAGGCCTCAACCACATATTCATTATTTTGGAATGGCAACTCATCAAAACTCTTGTAAAACTGAAGAAACAAGAATAAATTACCAATAGCTCTATTTATAATTTGC